TTTTTAACTTCAAACAAAGCAACTGTAAGTGTGATTTGCTACCGAACTTTGTGTTCGCTGAAACACTGGGGTTTGAAGTACCGCTACACCAGTGTGTTATTCGTTCTATCCTGGGAGGAAATAATCCATTACCTTGGGTACTAGGAGGGGATTAAATTCCTTAAGGAAACACTGTGAATTCAGTGGGCTCGAATTAATTATTGTTTCATTATACTAACTTATATTTTGCAGAATTATTATTTATAAATACAGCAATATTGGCGGGAATAACAAAAATTAATATAAATAAGTTTATGGAATATTTAATATACAAGGAACATATTATAGAACTATTATTGACCATTCCAGATGCCAATTCATTACCTTGGAGGTCTATAAATTACACTATTTTCAAAGCAGGATTATACTCAAACAAAAGTTTCATACAGAGTGAAGTACTATTTTCAATATGGCATTTCTTAAGCTGGGTTTCATTTACGCAATTCTTCTCATGGCAACCACTAGTTAGTATCTATCTCAATCTAGCTCTGCTAATAACTCTAATCTAATGTGATTTTTACAATGTATGTATGTATGTATGTATGTATGCATGCATGCATGTCTCTCTGTTCATGACGCATAAATATGCTTTATTTTGTTATATATATTGTAATGTAATTTTGATAATTATAATAGGGATATTTTTCAGTTAATTTGATGTGTTTCTCCAAGATGCAAGTGATGGCTGCACGGGATGCGGATTATGATCTCTCAAATGTCCAAAGAAGATTACTCCCGCAACTTAATACTTGTTTTAGATCTTGTCAACGGGACAGTGATTGCAGTGATTGTTGGATTTGTTGTTCACGTTTATTCGCAACATTCAATACTCTCCAGTGTGGTATCGACGTGGGAGGCCATATATAACAGTACGTCCTGTAGCCTATTGAAATAATCTGCTACAAAAAAATGTTGCTCGTTTATGGTATCCTGTAGCTTCTATGATTCCTTAATGGTTACTTTTTCCGTGTTTATCATGTGTTGTATGAATAATGAAGATTGTCAAGTGATGACACTCGATTCAAGAATAAAGACATATTTTGATTTCATATTGTCTTAGTTAGATTATGTCTATACATAATACATTCACAAGTTTTATCTTTAGATGTATTGCATGCGTAAACTACTGAAATCTTTTCTATTTGTCCTTTTATATAATATTTTATACCTCACATCTTAATAACAAAATATTTCTTTTTTTGATGATGTTGTCATACCCCGAAACTAGGGTGTGATGTGATGGCGGCCAACTCACCTTGCACGTCGAGCAAACCTTGTTTTAACTAACTGAAATTCTATACTGAACATCATACCAAAGGCATCTATATATCTCTATAAAGGAGGGCCAAGAGGTGGTGACATGGCATATCTATTAAGCTAGAATTACCATTTACCTTTTTTTCTTAGATTTTTGACTTTTCTCCTTATTTTCCTTATTCTTTTATTAAGCCACTATATCTTTTCTGGCATTTCAAAAGTGCATTCTTTTGGTTACAACTTTTCAAACGCCTCGCTTTCTTTTTCCACCATTTTTAATCGGTCACAACTTTTCCGGGATTTAAATAATTACGCTTTGAATGTCTTTTGTAACATATTTCACATGAACTTTCATCTTCTGAACTTCACTTCCCACCATCATTTACCCATCTTTTTCTGCCTCCTTTTACTTCACCGTACCAGGAATTGCCTCTTTAGATTCCTCAAGTAAAATTAATTGGTCAATGGGTTCTGTTACAAGATCACCTTTCAAGTATTTTCCCCTTTTCTTCATCTAACCAAATTCTTCTTCTGGAGCATATATCCATATGATATGATTAATGGTAACTAGCTAGATCTTCTGGAATTTTTTTTGTATTCCAAGTGTGAGGGATATTTATATAGTATATGATCATATGTCAGAGTAGAATTACATTGAAGAATTTATCTTTTTATTCTCTACTGATTTTCGTTTATGAATAATTGTGTACGCTGTTACGTAGTCATCTATTTTATTTTTTTAATGTTCTACAATGGTGATTCATCTCATGTTCTGACAATCTTTTTTATGATAATGAATCTCAAGTGATGCAATATGTCGGTAATTCATCCAGAATAACCTGCCAACGAGGAGCTATCTTTAAATTTCATAATATAATGAGCAAAGCGACCATTTACAGTTACATCCTATGATAAGTGTTTACACATTTAAGAATGTATACATGTTTGAGATAAGTATTATCTATATGTCACGTCTAACTTTTACAACTCTTATATGTTCGGTTCAAAGAGGGGAAGGCATGAGAAGTTATACTCATTGGCTAATAGAGGATTGTATCCTTTTTTTATTTATATATTTGTTTGCTAATAGATGCGTAGTAACGATCTATGAGCTTCTAAAATAGTATAATATTTTAAGCATCAAGTTTACTCCTTGCTATTACCTCTTTTTGTTGCGACTAAGAAAAATGTACGCTAATAAATGATTGTTAACTGGCCATATTCTTTGAGCTTCTGTTTATTAGAGCCGCATATATGACCTTTCCATTCTTATCTTTTCACCTTTTCACGCATTTTAATACAATTACTCATTTATGTCTTTATTCCTTCCGATACAGTTATTTGTTCATTTCGTGAATAATTTATTGTTTTGCCCTAAATCCTAATATTTGCTGAGAGAAACACTAAATTATTGAGATTTGATATGTTTTTAGTTTAGAGTTGTACCTAACAATCAAATTGAGCTAACAAAACCACACACACAAATGCACTCTTAACATAATTGTGACAGAGTTGGGAATTTTGAATTGGCACCTGCGGGGATTAGAATAGTGAGAAAATAGACCGGAGATATACAAAAGAATGGAAAGAATAGAAAAAGAAAATGCCTTAGAGAACAAAATTTATTTGATTGATCTTTTTCTTTTTCTCCTTTACCCATTAATATTTCCTTTCCTTTTTATATTTTTTTTAGAGAAATGAAAATTACATATCAATCTTATGAAACATAAGTGTTAACAATTCATACTAAGAAGATTAACAAACGGGAGGGAGGCATCTCAAGTGTACATCCCTGTTGACCTGTTCTTTACATTATATTTTTTTCTCCTTAATTATTTTTTAAATTTTTTATTTCTTTTACTCAATTTTACATATTCTGCTGATAAATTTCACATATGGTGGTAGAAACACATGAAAAAGTATGCTTAGTACAGATTGATTTTTTAAATAAAAATTATGATATTACATGAAACTATATTTTACTTTTTTCATAAGCATGTATACTAGTTAATAAATAAATCTTAAGATAATAACTGTCAGAACACTGAATTATCACATAAATCTTAACATGTTTGACAATTAAACCCACCAGAAAGTTACGAGTCTTTGTTTGAAAATAAATTGAGTACATAGATCTTTGGGGCATTCCAAGGCATTCCCTTGGAATGCCGTAAGTAATTAATAACTGCTAAGGGTCTGAAAAAAATATTAACAACGCTGAAAAGAATCAATGACTCGCCACTGAGTCTATTGAAATCGTCGCTAGCCATGTGCTTCATCACCATCAAACTCAATGCCTGCTACACGACGTGGTAGATCGAAACGGGCTAAATACCACCAAATGATACTTAGAAAGTCCCGTTGACTATCACAATCCAAATCCCAACCAAAGAGTCATGATGACACCTAACTCTACTTGCTAGATAAGCCAACACATAAAAGCAATATTAGAATTTGAATTTAAACATCTAACAGTAGCATATCATAAATAAAAACGTAAATGATTGCAAACCAACAAATAAGTCTACATCAACCACAATTGTCGAATAAAAAACCTCATGACTGGTGTCAAGAGTACACGAGTATTTACGAATAATACAACCCATATATCTAAAATGTTCAAAATATTGTCTGGAATGTAGTACAGTAATCATGGGGTAAAGAAGGTGACTTCAAGGTATTCGCGAACGAGCATGCAGTACTTCCTCAAGTCTCCTGAAGTACATCCATTGAGCATCTGCCTTATCCCTATCGGTATCAATACCTTGATCTGCACAATAAGTACAAAAGTGTAGTATGAGTACTATTGACTCAATGTATTCAATAAGTATCTTAACTAACCATGGTGAAATAGTAACGATATTTTAAGTCAAAGATTCTCATTTATCAAACTTGTTCATTTACTATATATATATATATATATATATATATATATATATAAAACACATAACGGGGAAATAAAAAGAGACATGAATTGATGTTATTATGGCATATTGGGTCATCGTGGATTAATATTGATAAGATAAGGCACGATGAATTCTTGTGTTGGCTCTTGGATAGGATCCGTCCCTGTAGAGTTAGGTGATCACCCATGTTACATTGGGTCCTGTGAGCACAAGGCAATACATGAATTGTGTGTCGAGACACATGGATCTTATGCTAGATTCGTGGACATCGATATGGTGGAGTTTAGAGTATGCATAAACGTCATAGACTCGTGTAGAAGTATGATAATTATGCTATTTGATGCATATTATCCTTATATGTGAAATTTTGTATTTTATCTTGTCACGAACCCAATTTTCCTCCGCAGGATGTCGTGATGGTACCTAATCTCCACGACTAGGTAAGCCTAATATTTGATAACAATTGAACAAATATAATTAACAAAATACTTAAAACCAGTATGATAACTCATATAACTTCTGAAAAACAGAATCTCAACCATACAATCCCCCAAGAACTGTGGAACAGAGTCATAAGTTCTATAGAAAAAAACTAAGATATCTAATACATCACTATTTGAAAGAAATACAACAGGAAGTAAAATAGGGAAGGTGACTCCGAGTCTTGCGGACGCCGAGCAGGCATACCTCAAAGTCTCTGTAAGGCAGCTACACATGATCTCTAACGACCGGCACGAGCAGACGTACCTGGATCTGCACAAAAATATTCAGAAGTATAGTATGAGTACACCACAAAGGTACCCAGTAAGTATCAAGCCTAACCTTAGTAGAGTAGTGACGAGGCCATATCAAAATACCTACTAGGATATAAATAAACAATATAAAAATATAACAAGGATAAATAATAGAAAGCAGAGAAATAACTGATACGAACCAAGATAATAGCGTGAACTAATAGCAGAAATTAAGCATGGAGATAGCATAAAAGAAGCAACTAAAGAGAATGACAATGATCATATATGGACAACAACTGCCAGAACAAATAAGAATGAAACAACAAGAAATGTTCCCACCAAAACTCCGTGCAACATGAAATAAACTGCAAGAATCACAATGAGGTACCGCCTCGTGTTTAATGAATCACAATCGAGGTATCGCCTCGTATTCCCAATTCTCAATTTCAATCACAATCTTTCCCTATACCATCGCGTGAGCCTTACATTTGAAATAGGTTTTGAAAACAGTTTTTTCGAAATAGCTACACGTACTTTAGCCTACCTTATGACGCCGCGTGGCTTCAAGTAGTTTCCGTACAAGCAACACACACATAAGTCCCACCTTATACCGCCGCATGCACATCAATCCCAAGCCTTATACCGCCGCATGCACGTCAATATCACATCACAATAACAACTCGCACCACACGTGCCCATATATCACAATTTGCCAATAACTCACAGTATCAATATTTCCACAATAATAGCCCACGGCTCCACCATAACAGGTATAAGAATATCAACAACAACAATGAATGTAAAATGCTCAAAAGGATGATGTTCCAACAATATCAATTTCGCCTCAATGTGATAACGACTTTCACAACTTCAACACCAATAACTCAACAATGAGTGACAATGTATAACCACAATGTTAAATAAAAATAACTCACAATGGAAGAGATAACGTGTAGCAATGACTTCAAATAATGGGAGTCAATAACGAAAGAGATAACATGAACAATAACTTCAAATAATGGTAATCAACACTGAAAGAGGTAACATGAACAATGACTTCAATTAATGATAAGCAAAAATAAAAGAGATAACATGTAACAATAAAAGAGACAACAAGTTCAACTAAAACATGAGAGCAAATTAGATCAAAAA